GTAGTAGGTATTACAAGACATATTATTACTTTGACAATATTGTATATATTTTTTAAGAGATGATTTAAAGGAAGGGAGTGTAGTCTTTGCTCGGATGGGTGGGGGTAAGTTCTTTCACACCGTGATATTTTATGGAGGTCTGGGACTGAGAGGAGCGCATGGGGGGTGGTCTTAGTAGCTCTGGGTGCCTTAAGTTGTATCTCTGTTTATTCCGGAACTGGAAGTAATTACTGTCAAGCAAGTGATTGATAGATTTTTAAACAAAGAGGGCACAGCAGTAGGTGTTAATATCTTTGAATTTTAACATTTTCAATTTAGCAAATTTTTCGTTTGTGTGATCTGTTTTTTCAAGTAGGTCATTGTCCGTACAACTCTCTTTTGTGCAGTAACCAGAGATTGTGTTTTTGAAGAGCCAGAAACCCCCTATAGTGTGTGACAGTGTATCAGGTGTTGGTAAACAAGATCATGATAGATTTCTTTCATTGCTGTGAGAGTGAGTGACTGTCGAGTGTGATACATGAAACCGCACTGTTTATTGACTTTACTGTGAATGGCTTGTATGTGGTTTCTCCAGTTAATTTTCTCATCAACAATAACTCCGAGGAATTTAGTATTTTGTTCGCGTTTGAGGACTGTATTACCAAGGTACAGGGGGTCCAAGTCTGGGGGTAAGTTTTTCCTCCTGTGAAAGATCGTATAGTGGGTTTTCTCAAGGTTTAAGGTCAGTTTATTACATATTACCCAGGTCCTGACTTTAGTCAAATCAGTGTTCATAGTTCTCATCAAGGAATGGAGGTCTGAGTTGCTGGCATAGAAATTACTATCGTCTGCAAATAAGTTGTATTTTATGAGTGTGCTGGCGTGGACTATGTCGTTTATGTACAACAAAAACAGTTCTGGACCGAGAATGGTGAGGAAAGGTCTCTGTAGGATTCCTCCTTTGTTGTTGATAGTCTTGTCTAGGGCTATTTTAAAGCACAGTACTGTCTGTTCCTGCTGATTGGTTTACTAGTCTCTGTGTGAAGAAACATTTCGTTGTCATTCTGCATGATAATTTTGTAAGCTTAGAGTCATGCTCCATTGTATTGGTGCGTGAAATCTAAAAAGAATGGCCGGGATTCATGTTTTCCATCCCTTTTAAAATTTTGAATGTGTATGAGTTGTGCCTTATTGTGTCTTGTCTGAAGGGTTGTTAGTCCTCAGGCCCTCAGTTTATTTGGATAACCGAGATGACATAGTTCAGGAATTATTTTAGTCACCATGTTGCACCTTTTCTAATGATGTTGGGTCTTTTTGAAGGTAGTGTTTACATGCCCTGTATTCAGTAATCCAGACTGGGACATACTTGAGATCTGTACAGTTAAAGGAGCATTTTCATATCTTTGTATTTGAAGGCTATGCTTTATAATTCCCAAATCTTGATTTTTTTTTTGTCACTATTGCCTCCACTTGTTCTGCCTCCATCAGTGACTGATCTATGACAACACCAATATCTTTCTCCTTATCGACAGTATCCAGGAAAGTGTTACTAACAGAATGGTGGTGATTTAGGTTGTTGCATCCTACATGCAGAGTCTTGCATTTTGTGTTGTTAAAGGTCTTTTGCTAGTCTAAAGACCATTTGAACAGCTTGTGCAGATCTTTTTGCATGGTTGCAACATCGTCTTGACTTGCAATCTTCCCAAATATCTTCATGTCATCCACAAACCTAACAATATGTCTTGATATAATTTCATGTCATTTATGTAGATCTCAACAGGTTGGATTCAAGAATAAAACTTTGTGCTATACTACTGAGAAATGTTTTCCATTCTGAATGTACTCCATTTATGACCACCCTTTGTGTCTTGTCATTGAACCTGTTGTTAATGCACTTCAAAATTTGGCCTATGATTCTATGTGGCTGGATTTTAGAGACTACCTGTGAATTGGGACTTTGTCAAGTGCCTTAGATAAGTCCACGTATTACGCCCGAGATCAAAGGTTTGCTTGACCCCAAATAAGATAAAACAGCACACTTGCATCAGAAAACAGTCAGGATAAGTCAGTTCAGAGACTCCGTTTCACCACGGGTATCAAAATTTTGACAGTGACTGTACTACTCATCCACTGGTAGACCTTGGTCCATGTAATGTGTTACCATTTCAAGGAAATTGAATAAGTGTGTCAAACAGGATATTCTCTATGGAACCGTGTGATACATTGATCAGACTACTCGGTTAGGTGTTGGAAGATTGTGTCCCTCAGAATTTTCTCAAGAATTTGTGCATATAGTGAGTTGACATAAAGCAAGGGTCAGGTGGTTGTTGGCCAGAGTTAATTTTTCCCTGATGTGGACTTTGTCCACCATTGCTACCTATGTTGTCAAGAGTATATCCAGAATGTTTTTTCTCTAGTAGGTTCCTTCATGTGTTGTGTCTTGAAGGTCAAGGTATGCTCCTCAGCTTGTATGGTAAGAGTCACCCAGTCTACTGTCTGTTCTGGATGACATTGGAGTCTGCCACTTCTCCCTGTGAGGTTGAGTCAGCCTTATAACACACACCTACTGTCACCTTGCTTTTTGTTCTCTGCTATTAGTTCACACCAAAAGTAAATTTGGACGATTTAGTTTCATTCGCTCATCATTACTGGTTATTGTCAGGTGCTCCATGACACAGTAGTACACCACCACCTGTCCTTTCTGGATGGTGAGTGATAACCTGGTAAACACATCTTCTCAACCCCAGGATGTCTGCCTGTTCTGTATCCACCTATGCATTTAAGTCCAGTCTTATTAACTAGACTGGTGTCATTCTTGTTTCATTCAGGATTTTGTTCTCTCGGGGTTACTAGTATTACTTAAAGCTACACTTGTGATGTGCAACACCTATACAGTATGAAGTCCCACATTTCTCACTGTCTCTCCTTCCCTCCTCCACCTCAGGTTCTTTATAATGCGATTGTCATTGTGTTTGTTTATTTGCAATTGTTCTCGTGACATGTTATGTTAGTCAGCCCCAGGTGCCACGTTATCACTGTGTAACTATTTCTTGTAAGTTATTTAATACTTCCTGCACTGATTGTTGGAGTTGTCTCATTTATTGCTTTAGTTTACTGTATCTTGTTCTTTATCTTCTACACTAGTAATACAGGTACACCACCAATTTTCCGGCACCTTTGGTTCCTGAGCCTTTCCGGACCATCCGTTTTGCCGGATTAACAGAGGTCATATATAATAATTAAGCAATACACCTTTGAACCACTTGGTATACACCCCTTCCCCCCGGTATTTTTAAAGCACCATGGCTGCTAGAAACTCATCACTCTATCATGTTCAGTACTCTTACTGTCTTTCAATGTTTTTCTAATGCACACTTGCTTCTTGGAATCACTTTCTGCATAGAATCTCGTTACTTTTTCTCTTTGCTTCTTTATATCACACACAGTTGACGAACCAATACCATACTGATCACACACCCGTCACACCGAAACACTACGGTCGAGTTTTCTCAAGAGTTCCACCTTATCTTGTATCGATGTGGACTGGTGTTTACGCTTTACACCACCACTGACACTTGTACTTGCCTTTGAAGCCATAGCTGGGGTTAAATATGTCCAAAACAAGCTGAGAATTACACAAAATCAAGAAGCTACCACCAGCAACTGCAGAATAAACAAAGCGAGCGCGGTTAACACGTAATGCCATCTGTGGGCAGCCCAGTAAACTAATCTGGAGGTCAAGGGAATTTTGTCCTGGTTAAAAGAGGTGCCGGACCATCCGTTGCCGGAAAATCGGTGGAGTACCTGTAATTAAGTCCCTAACTTGGTCTTTTTGTGTTTGTATATTAGTGTCAAAGTATTTATGTTTAGAGTACACCCACCTCTCGTTTTACGCGGGGGTCACGTTCTTGAAAACCACCGCTTAATTAAAAACTTCTTAAATTAAACATAAATTTCCCATAAGAATACATGTAAATGGTACAGGTTAAGGGAACCATCATATACCACACAGGGTACGAACAGTGCTCTCACTTAAACCAAGCATGCGGCCAACACACACATACTCCTCTCTGAAGGCCGGTGATCACATTTAATTTCACGTCCATTGTGATTGTTTTTCGTGCCTTTTTAGCTTTAGGCGTCCCAGAGGCAGATGGGTGTTTTACAGACATGGTCAATGGGGGAAACGGCGTTTAACACTAAAAAGGTACGTGATAAACACAATGCAAATTGGAGCACAGAGAAGTAGTAGTGCTGGTGTGAACTGAGAAAGTGATACCCGGGAAGCTTGCTGGACGTGGTCAAAGTTTTTGTACAGAATACTTCATTATCTTCACCATTAGAAGTAATTATCTTTATTATTACATTATTATAATTATTATTATTAATAATATAAAATTGTTGATGTTGATATGACTGCAACTTTATAGTCATAACTTACAAGTACCTCACCAGGCATCACACGCGACTCCACTGCCAGACGACCAGGTGAATACACGATGCAAATTTAAACTGTCTTGAGCGCGTTATTTAAAAAATAGGTGCGTTTAAATTAGCTTTTGGTATTAACTGAACAATCGCGTTGTTCCAAAAACGCTTAAATCAAACGCACGTAAAACGAGTTACCTGTATATAAAGTAAAAGAATAAAATCATTTTAACACCTGTGCTGAACTGATATTCCAGCTCAGGAGTGCCACAAGAAACGTGAAGATTAGTTATTACAGAAAAACAAAAAAATTTAACCCAAAGTTGATTGTAAATACATAATGCCGCTCAGTCTCATATTTTCTCTCTTAATTATATTAATAACTTTAAGCTTTGCATAAATCATTGTTTATCAATTTTGATACCTTACAAATACTACTTTCTTTTTTACTTTTTCTACTTGTGTGTTTCACTTCAATTAATTTAACTTTTGTTTTGTTTTTAAGTAGTTTTGAAGAAAGCTACTTTATACAAATTTTAATTTGTACAAAGCAACAGTGTAGTACTGTACTTTATTTTAAGTAATACTTCCAGGTACTTTCTCCATCACTGTTTAAAGTGGATCTGAATTGAGCTGGACCTGATGTGAACTAGACTAAAGTGGGCTGGACGTGCAAGTGAAGGAGATCTGAAGTTAACTGGACCTAAAGGACTAGATAGTAATTAATTACTATTTTCTGGTACTTTGAATATTAGGATGGTTCTACAGGCATTCCCCAGTTTATAAGAGAGTTCTGTTCCTGAAAAACCTTTAGTAAATCAGATAAATTTTCCCATAGACTTCCATTATAAAAGCCGAGATACTTTTCTATAATGAAAATACTAACCCAAAATGTCTTAACCCTTAAGCCCCGGGTTACGTTCCAGAACGTCTGCCTATTTTCCCATGACACAGAAGTGAGAGTTAACACTGTGGTGTTAATAACTTTACTAAAGTGAGGATATTACTTCAATAATTATGTAAGAGATAAAATCACAAAGTAACTTCATGAAATTACCGTTTACTGTATCTTAAAGTATAGTTAAGTCTTAATGATCAAATTTTTATGTAAAAAATTGGGGTCAAACTATACATGCATAATATTTTTGAGGGGTTACAATTTATGCATTTCCATGGGTCATTTACAGTGAATGATAGTACCTGGTGCAGTACGCGCTTATGGTAGGTTAACCTTACCAGTAAGCTCCTTTATCCTGGGCTTGCCTACCGACCCCAAGATCCTATGTGGCTACAGGAAGAGCAGAACCTTTCACTATACAGTATATGCTGGTTTAAATATACAAATGCCTGATAGAATTGGTTTCGATATTTTTCTTTGCATCTGTTTAAATTACTGGGAGATTATCAACTTTCCCCACCTGTGAGCTGTATGCTATGTTATGGTCAGAGTGAGGGAAGATTGGACTAAAGTTAATTGAGAGGGAAGACTGCTGGAGACATAATTGAAGAGTATTACAGTGAGGGTGGGAAGGCTGGTGATATGAATTAAAACTATTCTCAAGTAATGTATATGTGGGAGAAACTTGACTAGAACATAAGACTTTACTGTACTGTAGCAGAAGAAGAGTGAGGAAACACCTTAGGATAGACTGAAGTTTTATACAAGCAAAGGAAGGATATGTGCCACTTAATCTGCACTGGATTATTTTTTTAATTTCTTCCACATCCTAGGTTTAGGTTTCACTTCTTCAGAACTCAACCATAAAGAGAGTCACCTATCAACTGGAATCAACTGAATCTGACCATCTTTCCCCGACCTTTAGGACGGGGTCAGAAGTCTATTCTGGGAAGGATGTTTTTGGACCAGCATGCTTGTTTGTCCAGTGGTTCCAGGAGTCAGGATCCTCTTGAGGGAGAAACCTGGCCCTCAGACTTGGCATCAGCCAGGTTCAGGTGTAACGGGCCGAGTTTTCTCTTTTAATAATTTACCATTCAGATATTCTTTTCTGTTAGTATTCTATTTATTCATATACTTATATGTTCGTTGTAGCATTCTTTCCAATGAGTAACCTGTTTTATATACTTATCCTTCTTCAATTCTTTACATATATACTTATTCTTATATATTCTTGCTTATATTCTTACATGTTCTTTATCTCTATATACCTTCTATTCTTATATATTCTTATATAAGTAACTCTTATGCTTCTCTTGCTTATATTTTCCAAGTCAATGTTCTTTCTTTTCATTTTCGTTCATATATTATAATCTCTTCCATTTATTTTGTTCTAGTTATATTCTAAACCATGGATTAACCTGGGAAACCATGTCTTTCTTATTACCACACTTATTATACTTACAACGGTAGACCTGCCACCACCCAGGATTTTTCTATAATATAACATATCTTAGTTAACTGTTAGGTAGCGAGCTTCTAGGCTTGTGAGTTAGTTATTTTCTGAGAACCAATGTGGGAAAGGATAAAGTGGTGATACTCGTAGATTACTAATTCAATATTTATTAACACAGTGATTGGATAAGATGCATCTTAGATTCACTCAGACAAAACAGAACTGCAATTTATTTATTAAGTCATCAAACACTTCAAGAACTTATTACCTCATTAAATACCTCCAAATACTTATTACTTCAATCGACAATTGTGGTATTATCACTCTGCCAAATGATATTCAGTACTGGGTATACACCAGATATCACTGGACCCTCAGGTCTTACCTTACCAAGTAGCAAATTAACTCTTCACTTCTTGGTTATATCATTATACTCTCAGATTATCATTTCATGGTCACTACCGATGAATACATAGCACACTGGACAACTCCACAATTATCGCAACATACAATACCTCCTGTTAATTCTCAAGGAACAACATGGCACTTTTAACTCTCATTCAGTGGTTCAATACTTAACCTGGGATACTATATTTCGGCTAGTTATCCCCCAAACAAGATACAATAATACTTAGGCCCATGTAACTGTGAGGAGTGCTCCAGGGTAACGCTGGTCTCTACAACAAATGAAGATCGCTGTTAGGGGTCGGTTGTAGACAGACACACGCCCAGGGAGCTGGTGCCTGATTTGCAGGAAACGGACTTCCCAGTTTAATCCTGTCGAATTAACGGCATCGTCCAACCCGGTTACCGACCCACGTTAGCCGATGAGTATTCAGCTCAACACACTGGAGAGACGTTGAGGAAGAGTCACGAATGCCTAAATGCCTAACTTCAACTATACAAAACATACGTCTGGCAACGGTTCAGACGATATCTAAATCTCTACGTTACTTGACTTAATTGGCACAGAATTCACTATGTTAACACCTGAACACTGATATTCACAAAATTGACCAAGTTAAACTGAATTAATAGGCGGCGGGGAACACACGTTAACATACCTGAAGACGTTGAGGAAGAGTCACAAATGCGTGATTCTCCCTCGTGTAGAGGTATATACGTGCACCAGCGGGGCAGCTTGGGCCTCCGTATTCATACCAGAAGGGTCGATCTTACCAACAACATAACTTCTCTACCATTTTGGATCACTGTAAACTTAGTTATGAACTCCAGTGTTCTTGATCAGGGTAATTTCCTATGTCTATTCATATAATCTAATCAGAGGTTGAGCTTGCCAGGAAAAGGTGGATTATACACGTCGATAACATTAATTCTGCAAGCAAAGGCCTGAGGCGAACAAGGAGCTATTCACGGGGAGGCGCTACATCTTGGAGATTATACCAGTTGACAGAATAGTTCAGGAAATTAATGACTTTCTCAAATAGACAACTGCCACTAACTAAACTATAAACATCAGATTCTCTGATGTCGGGGCAACAAAATGATATAACTTCAGGCGCGATCAGAAACTCATGGATACCCCCACGGACGACATAAAATACGCCACTAGCTGGCAAACTCGACACTCACTCACTTGACACGTTTTACTAACGATAAGGACAGTTGAGGCGTTCTACCCCACTCACAATGGATCTTGAATGTTCCCACTGTAAACAGACATATCTAGGTTGACTCAAAACAAGGGTGTTCTCTCTCACACTCAAATTCATTTTATAGAGAGGTTGGTTTCAATAAGTCAGAGAAAATGGGATAACGGAGGACTGAGGTGTCTTGAAGTGATAAGAAAACGGACTCCTCAGATGGAGGACTCAACGAAAGCCGAGTTATATGTTTTGTGGGCTATTGAGCGTAATATGAATCATTTGATTTTGGTGCTAACTGACGTGTAAGACCGTGGTCGTGACAACACCACCTGTGTTTTTTTACCAGGTATGATTGGTAATGAGTAATGTGCTGTATGAGTCGAGCACAGTATGATTAGTGGTGAGTCAAGAGCTGTATGAGTGATAGTGAGTCGAGCGCTGTATGAGTGATAGTGAGTCGAGCACAGTATGATTCGTAGTGAGTCAGGCACTGTGAGTAATCTACTGTGTGTATGATTGTTACTGTGTCATGTGCCATATCATCCCATCAATCATCCACCTCCTGTGTGTGAAATGGTGTACTTCCAGGTATCACATATCATGCTGAGTGTCTTGGGTCGTGCACAGTTGATGCTGTATGTGTTGCTTATATCATGTTTTGGGTATTTTGATGCTCTCTCTCTCTTTGTTTATCTTTCTCACACACACACATGCAAAAAAAAAAACCCTAAACTAACCTAACTTAGATACATAATGAGATCATTAAAAGTTGAAAGTCACCATCTCTTCTCTCAACAGGTTGGAGGGAGGCATAAGGTCGAGCATGACAACCATTACTGGTGTTGGCTGGGCAGAAGCCGTCACTTGTGCACCAAGATGTCTTCACGTTTTAGCTCTCTGGTCTGTAGTCTCAAATGTAAAGTATGTTGAATATTTCTCCTAAGTTAAGATGCAAGGTTGTATCTGATTGTGTGATTCAAGGTGATGGAATCTCAAAGGTATGTTGAATATTTCTTATAAATTAAGATGTAAAAATGTATCTGATTGGTGACATAAGATACAACATTGGTCAAGGATGAGTTGTCCTAATTTATTTAGTATGGATCAGGAAGCTGATTCTAGGACTGTAGTTAGCCTGATTAAAACTCGGGCCTTCGTTGATGAGCAGCAGCAATTTGACAGTAATTACATAAGATCATCGGAATCGTCTTAGTGATGTGCAAACCGATAAAGGATTTTTTAATGCTAGATGCGATTGTATTTTTTAAAACTCAATCTCCACTGAGTTGGAGGTACAGCCCAGGTCAAGAGGCCTACAACCACAAAATCTTTGTCATAAGACAATTTTTTTTTTTTTTACGGAGTTGTGGTCACTGCTGTGATTAGCCACCCAAAGGTCAACCAGGTAGTGTAGTACTGTGCCTTTAGTTAAATCAGTTGATAGTGTCATCAGTGACTGCGGAACAGGTTGTAAATACTTAGAGTGAATACAAATTGGCAAGCAAGCTGTTAAGGCACCACTGCCACAGAGACTTTTATTTTGTATTTGTGCTCTCTCAATGACTGAAACTGTGCCTAACACCATTCACAGGGAGATACAATAAGTACTTTCAGAATAACACATAAATGCCTAAATCATTCCTTGGAAACCAATAGTTGATAAGTAATTAGCACTGCCCTGTGGTACCCCTTTTGTGACAGGTACAGATAATGATTTAGTGCCATTAATCACCACACACTGCTTGCAGTCATATAGAAAGTCTTCTATCCACGCTAGGATATTTCCCCAAATACCGTACCCTTCCAGTTTGATTTTCAGCCTTTCATGGGGTACACTGTTGAAAGCCTTGGCAAAATCTAGGTATATGTTATCGATATTACCACCCCGTTCCAGAATATGGGTCCAATATCCAATACTTTGAGCAATTGTGTTAAGCAGGAATGCCCCGGCATAAAACCATGTTGGCAATCCTCTACAAGGTTGTTTTGTAGTAGCTGTTCCATTACGGCATCTCTGATAGTACTCTCAAGTATTTTACATATTATGCTGGTCAGGCTCACCCCTCTATAGTTGTTCGTGGAGTGACGATCACCCTTCTTGAGTATAGGACTCGCATAAACCACTTTCCAATCACTGGGGACCTTTTGTTCATCCAGGCATTTACAAAACAGGATCTTTAGGGGCTCGGCAAGCTTGTTGCACAACTCTCTTAGCACTCTGGGATGCACAATGTCAGGGCCAGGACTCTTATGGACCTTCAGCTTTGACAGTTTATTTCTAATACCCTCTTCTGTGAACATAATGTGGGTCACTGCTGTGTCGAACCGTTTGTCACCAAACGCAGGAAGGTTAATCGCATCCTCTCCTGTGAACACCGAGGAAAAGAAGCTGTTCAATGTCTCGGCTTTATCCTAGTCAGAATCTGCGTGACTACCATCTTCAAGCCTCAGGTCTGATACTCCTACTCGCATTTTTAATTTCGACTTTGCATAGCGGTAAAACGCCTTTGGATTTGTCTTGACCTCACTTGCAACCAGCCTCTGGAACTCCTTTTCAGCCCTTCTACACCTACCTTTGCTTGTTTTCTGGCTCTTGCATACATCCTCCTGTCCTGCTCTCGCATGACCCAACCTACGTCTTGAATTCTGAGTTTTCTTCTTAACTTTATCGACCGCCTCATGGTTCATGTGTAGGGACCCCCTCATATTCCTAGAGGCAATGGGTTTGGTCTTGGGTATATATTTATAGATCAAATGGGTCACTTTACTAGTTATGATATTCAGCGTAGTGTATGTGTTCTTGTGCCTCAATGAGTTGGGCCAGTGGATTCCCCTCATCTCTTCCCTCATCCCATTGTAATTTCCCTTGTAATATTTGCACCTTGGCCTGGCCTTATCTTGAACTAGGTAACAGTTAAATCTGAATGACAACACTATGTGGTGACTGGTGCCAACTGGGGCAAGATGTTCCAGTTTGGCCACCATACCCTCCTCATTTGTTATGATGAGGTCTAGTGGCTTGGGTGTTTGCTCCCCTCTGTAATGTATCGGGTCTCTAACATGATGGAACAGAAAATTATCTCTCAGAGTTTCTAAAAAACGAGTAACAGGGTTATTCAAGTCATTTCGGGTGAACTCGTTTTTCCAGTCTGTGTCGCCATAGTTAAAGTACACATGATATGGAGGTGGCTAGGGTTGAGCATTGCTGCAGTGTCTATTAAGGCTCTTAAGTTCCTTTGATTTAGTGGGCCACAGTTTGGGGATCTGTAGATACACCTGACGATAAGTAATTTAATTTTACACCATTTGGACTCTTCAAAAACATCCTCTCCCTGTACTCTCACCTGGCTGACTCTAAGGTCTTGCCTAGCATAGATAACCACACCCCTCTTGCAAGTTTTTTGAGAAAGGATCGTAAATGAGTCATATCCAGCTATACTGAACTCGCATTCCTCTGGGTCAATTCTCCTGGGGCCGGATACTCAAAAACATTTATGGGACTGTATGTCTTTGTTTACCCCGTAACTGGACTTACAGTCTCAGATCGGTATACTCAAAACACAGATGGCATACTCAAAACACAGATGGTATACTCAAAACACAGATGGTATACTCAAAACCAATATTTGACATCGAACTCCGTAAGTTAACGCAAGTAACTTACACCAGCTCCCGAGGTTGTGTAACACTCTCAACCCGGATGTAGTAGTGACTAATTCCCGATTGTATAGAAAATAATAATAATATATGTTGTAATAATGCTTGTTAGACTTGTTTTATCATAGAATAAAGAAGAAAATGTTTTGTACATCAACATACTGAAATATGATATTTCACTTTGTCTTTTTCGTAACTTTTTTGTTGTATAATAAGCGGCTTGAGTGTTTGTATTTGTCTCAGTTTGGAAGAGACGCATCTTTTGTCTTCTTACACATTATAAAGTATTTCTTACCTAAATAGAAGGTTTGTATTGTTCACACTTAGGGTAAAAATATGTTTTATGACTGAGTAAACTTGCAGATAGAACTTATTAATGTTGTATAGCCGTAAATATCCCTCAGTAATGAAAGCCAAATATGAGGTCAAGTGAACATTCCTGCCAAGACTTCGCCTTGTTTTTCTAATATTCAACCAATAGCCTTAGCCTATTTTCTTATGTATATAGAGTATGATAACATGAAAGGCTATAAATTTCCATAGGCTAGCCAAAATTAAATGATATTAGGTGTAAAATATGGATTGCAATTAACTTGATTAATAGGGGCCTATATAACTGCTTTTTCAGTCTTAGGCAAATAAATGTTTAAACATGGGGCCTACTTAGTTTAGTTAGAACATGAGGATTATTTAAATAAGAAATTATACTAATAGGGTATAGGTTAGATAGATAGGTTTGGTTATGTTATGTTATGGTATGTTAGGTTAGGTTAGAGAGTGTGTAATGGTTTTTTGGTGAGCATCAGGCCGTCAGTGAGACACTTTGTCTAGCAGCTACCTTAGGCCTAGTTCCAGACTTTCCTTGAACATTATCATAGGTAGAGTATTAATTTAAGAAAATTTACGGCTAATCCGATATATTTTCAGGTTTTAAATTGTTGTTTCTTGTATGAACTTGAAGACAATTCAGACCAAATGTTCCCAACATTGAAAGGAAAACACCAGGGTCTAAGCTAAATGAGTAATTTAAGAGAAGTGATTTGTCATTTAGGTTAGGCAAGGCTATGCTATCAATAACCAATTTATTTGAATTTGCCCAGAATAAGGCTATCTTAGTATAGCTTATGTGTCTTGTCACAGGCCAACATTATGCAAGGGATTATTTACCTAAATTCTAGTGGGGTAAAACACCTATTACTGTGAGATCTCTGTTAGCCAGAACAATTGGTGAAGAGCACTACCGTGAATGAATGAGTGTTTTCCCGTTAACGAGACAGTTATCACAAATCAAGAAAATATCCCTCATCCCCAGAATGTTTATGGTAATGGAAACATTTTCTCGGTAGTTCCTGCAATTGCCCATTACATCATCTCTCGAACCCAGAAATATATCCCCCATCTCCGGAATTTTCTCGGTTATCTGGGAAACTTTCCTCATAGTTTTCAGGAAAATGTGCCTCTCTGAAAGTCATTTACCTAAGCCGTAAGTTTCCTGCAAAATCATGCTTTGGGAATTAATTTTAGATAAAATTTCAATTACGGCTTTCAGAAAGTTCTGGGTTTCAAGGATTCCGGCTAACGGAGAAGGCTGCTGTTCCTACCAGAAATCAGTTTCAAATGCGAGTATGTGACAGACAAGAGGCAAGAGGATGTCTTTTAAATGCTTTTAACACCCTTATTTACTTTCATAATGAACAATTTCTTTCAATTTTAAATGAATACAGAGATTTTAACACGTGCATTTTTCAGTATTTTACCCCTAAGAGCCAGGCAAAACCTTAAGGCCATAATTTTTGTTTTTTACAGGCATAACCCTTCTATTCTAGGCCTAATGATAAAACTTTGAATAAGTTAGTATCAACATAAAAACAATACTGTAACAAACTTCTAAGCCATTGCATAATTTTTTGTCCTGCAGATTGATCCTGTAACACTTGGACCTCATTTTCCAGTTACCCTGCAATGGAACTTGTTGTAGCTTATCTGCATGATCGAGCTTTACGACGTGAACGAAGGTATCGGGACCCTTTGGATCCCATAAATATAAGCGATGAAAATCTAATTAGATATTATAGGTTTCCTCGATGTGAAATTCTAAGACTGTGTGAAGAGTTAGATCCATTTTTAAGGCGTAGAACGAGAAGATCTCATGCTGTTCCCATACACACGCAAGTGTTAGTTGCCTTAAGAGTTTACGCCAGTGGAACCTTTCAACATGTACTTGTGTAATGGTCATGATAAGAGCTAACCTGAAAACCTTAAGGATTCATATTACGCTCAAACGTCCACAAAACCTTCCGAGTCCCCCAGTGGAAACGTCCCCCGTTTTCTCTGTTTCCCCCGCCTTTGTCTATGGGAGCAGACGCTGTATGCTGGGACCTGTTGCCATCCATTCCTTTGTAATCAATTTAATTCTGCTTTCGATAGCTGAGTCAGAGCATTGTTAGTGAAGATAATAGTAGAGAATGAAAATGAGTTCATAGTCTCAATTTCAACGTCAGAGGGTACCGTAAATTAATTCATCGGAATAGGAGTAGGTGGACTCCCTGGTCTGGTTTGAGTGAGGGCACTTGGGCATTTTAACCGTTAGTAAGTGCCCGTCCCTTCATCCATACAGGTCCCTAACGCAGCCTAGGCCGTGTCTGTAACGTGGATGTTGTATCCACTATGTCTGGGGACATGTCCGAGGTCCAGTAGGATCAGTTACCTACGTGAGACCCGGCCGTCAGACACTTCAGACCACCTATAGCCCCCATAGCTGGCTCGTCTGGCCCTAACGCTCGGTCCACGAGGTGACCCGGGACCACCAAGCCACACACCACTACCAGCCCCCATCATTGGTGGATGAATGTCTACCTCAGTAGGGCTATATTTGTGTGGTGGAATTAACCCACTGGGATCTCCAGAGTTCGTCAGATAGTACTCCATGGTGGCTGGACCCCATGGCTGTTGCTTGAGTATCACTCCTGACGACTGAGTGTTGTAGTGGCAGTTGCTCTAATATGTATGGTGCTAAGTGACTATCCTAGTTGTGCTATTGAGTATGTCCACCCAGTAGGGTTGGAAGTGTATTGATTATGTCCACCCAGTAATGGTGTGAGTATGTTGTGCCTGAGGGCCTAGTACGAGATTTCGTCTGTTAGTACAAACCAATTCTTTCTTCTAATTTCATATTCATGTTTAAATAAACTTTGTATTTGTATAATTGGGTATATTATTTACCTACAGTATTTACCGTTATTTCTTCCCTATTGCTTGATACTATCATTACACCTACCCACGAGCCTCCTATCGTCACGCTACCAATGGTGATATATAAGAGTAACAGGAATTGTTACTGGCACACAGGCCCTCATGAATGGTGGCAGTAGCAGCCCTCATAAATGGTGGCAGCTCAAGCCCTCATAAATGGTGGCAGCTATGGTGATGTAATGAACATAGTATCGAGTTGGGAGGAATGACTGTGATACTGTAGTTTTAACTGAGTTATAACCATTTCTCTGTACGGGTATTTAATAATCATTCCACTGTAACTAATGAGTATTTCAGATTGCTAATGATTTGGTTCCATATTTTTCCGAGGTACAGCGTTTTGTGGTGGTTTGCAGAGAGAGTGAAATAAGTTCAAAGAAATACCTTGGAGTTAGGTTAGAAAAAGTCTTGTTTAAAGTAAAAGGAAACCTGCAACAATAACTTGTAGAGTGTGAATAAGGTTCATTAATAGTGGAAGAATTTTGATATGTAACAATCTGCCCAAATTTTTTTCTGTTGTTAACTCAGTATTACTTACAGACAGTGAATACATGTTTGGGCCGTGGCACTAGTTGTGAAATGTTCCATCGTGGGAGTGCCCAGTGTTTTAATTCTGAGTGCTAACAGAAGCATTGCACTATATGCAAAGGTTAAGTGGATGCTAATTCTGTACTTGTCATATTCTTTAGTTATGTGTTAGGTAGGATATATATTCCATTTACTTAATATCTCGGGGCATTTTACAGTTCCTACTATTAATATTCCTATGTATACGCTATAATTTTAAAGTTATTTTAACCAGGTGCTAACGGGTCATTATTTTGTGTAACGTATGTTATGTGAACTCTAATGCCAGTATACTTTCAGAATACAGTATTATATGTGAGGACCTTATGGTGATACGGTATATGGAAAATGTTATACAAGTGTATGGACCCAGAATTGTGAGTACGGAAATTCGTGAAGTGTTCACGCAGTGTTGCACCATACTGAGTCTGTGAATGGCAAAGTGTCTAAGTGAATTTTTGATGCCATAATATTATCTTTGGGGAGATTAATAATCTGAACAGTAGTTTGAATAGTTGATGCATGGAGTGTTAGTCGTATTGCAGAAAATCCGTACCAGTCCTTGGGTCTTGAGTGAGCCCTGTGCATGTATCGTATTTAAAGTGGGTTATAGTATTGATTTGTTGTAACACAATGGCAGATGCTAACGCAAATAAGGGGACCATGACGGCCAAAGCCGCTGTTGATTTAGCAACAGAAGTCCAAGCTCTTCGGGCTAAACTCGCTGAGTCTATGGATACGATAAGGAGACAACAAGCTTTGCTTGATGAACGGAGGGAAGAACCGGCTGTACCTACTCGTCCTGCCGTGGTTCCACTTTTGCCCCCCCTGCCATGGTTCCACTTGTACCTCCTCCGGCCGTGGTTCCACTTGTACCTCCTCCTGCCGTGGTTCCACTTGTACCCCCTCCTGCCGTGGTTCCACTTTTGCCCCCTACTAACGATATACCCAGCCGACCTCCTGGTCCCCATTACCACCAATACGTTCCGAGGCTGTCCTTGGACGACCTCGTTGGTCTTAACACAGACAACATCTTAACTAAATTCTGTAAGAGAGTAGAATATTGCGCAGTTAGCTCACGGGATAGATGGTATGTAGCTACCGACCGCATGGACCAGCAGATTGAAGACATGGTCCAAGTAGAACTCGGCACCGATGAGGAAAATTGGGATAAACTTAAAGCCACCTTGCGGAAGTTGTTTGTGAAACCAATCCCTCTGGAAGTTGCCTGGCAGGAATTTGCGAGGTTAGAGTACAATTTGGAAGATGATCCCCGGCGCTTTTTGGGCCAAGTTAAATCAGTTCTCACAACCATTTTCCGCCGGTATGGGCCCAGGGAAGGTGAAGAACAAACTTTGAAAGATAAATTGTACCAGAAACTGCCAGAACAGTTGAAAGAGGAGTTGATATCCTATTATTCCCCTTGTTGTCCAGTAGACACGATGGCCGAACAATTGGAGAAACTCCGACATATCTATCTGCGAAGTAACAGAACTGGGTATCCTGGTATCCGCCCAGTTCACAAGCATGCGACCCAAGAACTTCCCATAAGTGAAAGAGCCAGTCGGGCCGAAGGTAACGTAACAGGAGGAGCTTGGGGTACCAGTAGTAAGCGAGATCAACACGCGGTAGCCTTATTTGAAAGTCCTCGTAAAAGGTTAGTTGGAAAGCGACAGGGACCTTACTGTCCATATTGCCGAACACCGAATCATGATACTTCTACTTGCCCCTTAAATCCACCCCCACGTTCATGTTGGGATTGCTTGGAAGTAGGATGTCGGAGAAACAGTCAACGCTGCCCTGGACGCGCCAACCGTCGGCACTATCCAAAATATTGACATAAGGGGGTTCCTTCCAATGTGTCTCCTTGCATTTGGTTTACTGTAAATGAACGTGTCTGTCTTGCTTTAATAGATACAGGTAGTGAAGCCACCTTAATTCAGGAGAGCCTAGTAAAGACTTTGAATTTGCAACCCATCAAACCTTGTAAAGATAGATACCAGGGTGTTACGGGAGATGAGCTAAAAATTAAAGGTAAAGTAGTCATAACAGTACAAGTAACCCCCCAGTTGCAAGTCAGACACCATGCTATTGTGGTGGATGATAAGTACTTTAATGCAGAATTGCTATTCGGAGCAGATCTCCTTGGTAGATTTAGAGTAACCTGGGAACGTAAAAGGAAACTTTTCATTTGGGCAGGCCAGTCACATGAATATGGGAAAGTAGTAATGAGAGATCACATGCAAGGAATCAAATGCGTCAATAGATTGTCATTAAAGCCCGATGTACCTTGTCCACCACAGTTGAAGAGTCTCCATATTGATAGGAAGACTATTGTACGAGGCCACCATGCACCGATCTTATCCATCAAGGTGAAAGTAGAGATAGGTCAAATTCTGAGCATACGATTCACGCATAAAAGTTTCAACCAACAACCAGAGATATGTGTTAGAGTACAGCCAGATTCACGTATATATTTGCCAGTAAGTAATTGTACCGATAAATCAGTGTATTTGAGAGTTGGCACTGTCATTGGCGAATATGAGTTAATCCCAGAGGAGATAATCTCGTATGTTGACACTAAGGGAAATCACTTGGGACATATTCAACAGGTCTATGACAAATTGTGTAAAGTAAAGTCTTCAACTGAATTCTCCCTTTGTGCACCTCATCACCTAGCCATTCAAACAGAAGGGGAGAGGAGATCATCAAACCAAGTAAAAGTAAATGTAGGTGCTGATCAGAGAGTACCATCCTCTGACTGTGTAATTTGTGCCGGAATTCCCAACGGTACAGTAAAGAAGGTAAGACATGTCCAAGAGATTTCCAACAGTATGATACCGGAATGTGACGAAGTAAAAGGCGGAACCACTAGACAAGAGAAGTTAAATGAGTTAATTAGAAACCAACCGTGGAACCATCTAGACCGAGAAATGCGTAAACGTTTGCGGAAAGTAATTCTAGCTCATGATTCCTTATTTGTTTTAGGACCACATGAAATTGGGTCAATTGCTGGTATACCCGCTAACATTCAGCTCGCCAACCCCAATCCTGTCCGAGGACCACAGTATAGACACCCAGAGAAAGCAAAAGAAATAATTAAAGAAATGATAACAGATATGAGGGATCGTAATATCATTGAACCATCGACTGCCGCCTGGTTATCCCCCATTGTTCTGGTAACAAAACCCAACGGTTCAAAGCGTATGTGCTTAGATTTTCGAGCGGTCAATAAGCATTTGAAGGTCGACATACAACCCTTGCCACGAATTGACGAATTAGTAGAGAAAGCTGCAGGAAATAAATATTATGCCACATTAGATTTGAAGGATGCATATTATCAGGTCATCCTTAACGACAGCAGCCGAGATCTAACAACTTTTAGCGATGGGTACAATCTATGGAGGTTCACACGCCTTCCGTTTGGGCTCTCAGCTAGTCCTGCCGTTTTCACGCGAGAAGTAAACCGAGTATTAGCTCCATTAGCAGTTGAAGACTGGGTACGAAACTATCTTGATGATGTAATAGTATGGGCTCCTGACTTCCCCACCTTGTTGCAGAGACTCACCAGAGTATTTGAGAGATTTGAAGAGATGGGTATTAAACTAAACTTGTCTAAATGTCAATTTGGCCATAAGCAAGTTAAATTCTTAGGACATGTAGTTTCAGAGAGAGGCATTGAGCCTGACCCAGAAAATGTCCAGGCTTTGACTGATTGTAAACCCCCAACTAATGTTAAACAAGTCCGCCAATTTTTGGGTATGTGTGGATTTTACCGTAAACATGTTCCCGAGTTTGCCAAAGTAGCTTACCCCCTCACTGAATTAACGAAACAGACTGTTGATTTTGCATGGTCAAATGAGTGTCAAGAAGCATTTCAGAAGTTAAAGCAAGCACTAGCTTCATACCCAGTTCTTGTCAAGGCCGATATTTATAAACCCTTCGAACTGCATAGTGATGCCAGCAATTTCTGCGTAGGCGCTTCCCTTAATCAGATACAAGAAGGTGGCTCTTTACGACCAGTGGGTTATTTTTCTAGAAAGCTAAAGCCGGCGGAAACTCGTTATTCCACCACCGATAAAGAAGCGTTAGGCATTGTATTAGCGTGCAGGTTCTTCCATCATTTTCTTTGGGGTACGCAGTTTACAATTAAGACAGATCACCAACCTCTAACATCCGTCTTTAGAAAGAAAACCAAAAGTCAGCGAATGAACCGTTGGATCTTAGAAATGAGAGATTACGCTTATAACATTGAATATAAACCCGGTAGAGCTAATGTAGTGGCTGATGCATTAAGTCGACCAGTCAGAACCTTGAGAAAAGTCATGCACGACCATGCTGCCGCTCAATTTCCCACACTAGAAGGTTTCACACAGGCAGACTTTGGTAAAGAACAACAAAAAGAACCCAGGTGGCAAGAGTTAAAACAGTATTTAGCAGGAGGTAACATTCCGCAACATAAGTACCCAAAGGCCACCGTTGATAGCTTTGAAGTAATAAATGGAGTATTGTACCTAGTAAAAGAACAACTCGATAAAGCATTGAAGTATTGTCTCGTAATCCCGCAACATTTACGTAAAGCCGCATTAGAGTTGGCGCATGACAATGCCACCTCAGGTCATTTAGGACGGTGGAAGACCATCACCCGAGTAGCTAATTTGTTTTATTGGCCTAACTATCGTAAAGATTGTGTTGATTATGTAGCATCATGCGAGACGTGTCAAAGGTTCAAGGGAACTAAAGGACTTACGCAACGTTGGCAAGAATTACCAGTCGTGAGCAAACCACTAGAACGAATTTCGGTGGATTTGACGGACATGCATTCCGGGATCAATGATTACCGATATGTGTTAACGATCATAGATCATTACTCAAGGTTCGTTAACTTCTATCCATTGCGCACGAAGACAACGCAAGAAGTTACCCGTGAATTTGAAAAGTTTGTTAATGTCTTCGGTAGTCCTACAGTAGTGATTGCGGATAATGGAGGAGAATTTACTGCCGCACAATTCAGGGAGCTCTGTCGATTAACTAACATTCAAGTGTATTTTACCTTGCCTTACCACCCCCGAGGTAACAGTATCACGGAGAGAATGCACCGAACTTTTAAGAACATTTTATCAATAATGTGTGAAGATAACCCGCGTCGCTGGCCACGATTCTTGGGTCCGACCCAATATGCGTTGAACACTTCTGTTCACACAACGACTGGAGTGCAGCCACACTTCGCATTCTTCTCCCGGCATGCACAGAGGCAAGTGGGAATTGAGTTACCAATAATAGAAAACGAGAGTACTGAAGGGTTGAGAGAAGCTCACAAAGTAATTAAAGAAACTTCTGAACGAATGTCTAGAGAATTCCGGAACGTAGCAAACCGAGATAGAGTCAATCAGACAGTACAGCTAGGGGAAACTGTTTGGGTGAGAGATGAAGTTACTATCCCAGGTACCAGTAGAAAATTAAATGCTAAGTGGAAGGGCCCATATACAGTAACTGAAGTAATACGTAATGGTGCAGCGTATGAGTTAACCCACCTTTCAGATGAGACAGAAGTAATTCGACGAGCCGCAGAAAAGGTGAAAAGATGTATCAACAGAGATATGTTTGTCCATGTAAATGACATCCAGGTTCCCCCTAATGATTCTTCCTCAGAATCAGAGCCTGATGAGAGAGATGCTATACGGGATGAGGAGAGAACAGTAGTTGCTCCTGCTCCCCGATTTCCCGTAAGGATGAGAAAACCAGTGGTGAGACTGGATCTTTAAAAGCAGTGAGCTTTAAGTGACCCCCATTGGTTGATAATGAAGTGCACAATCAGTTATAAGTAACTGTGGAAAAGAGATAGGTAAAGAACTGATGATTTTTTTTTATTAAAAGTATTTTGCAGAGGAAGGGTCAATTTGCAGTAAAGACAGAGATTGGAAGATGGATTGGCAGTTATGCAATCATCTGAAGGGTATCTGTTACTAGTATGAGTAAAGATACCAGTGGTGAGTTCTCAAGTTCTGGTTGGTAAGTCCTATGTAGGCTGGGTTGTTGGTATATAGGTGTAGAGTTCGTGACTTTCAGGGAGTATTCGGGCATATAAATATGGTGCTATTACTTCTACATGGCAAATGCCATAAGTACAGACAGTTTTTGGTTTGGTGGTGTTCTCATGAGGACCGTTTCGTTAGCATTGAATTCTTGGGAATACCCGCTCGTTCGGAGTCCCTTGAAGGGTGCTGCCTCTCGCGAGTGCGACATAACTCTTTAGATTAAGGGCAACAAATCATTCCTTTGACTTGATGGGGTCCGTTCGTCTATGTCCTAGCTTGAGAAATCTGTGTTAAATCTCAGTGTGTCCTGTCAGCATTTGACCAATCGCGTAAAAGAAACTTTCATAATCTATGAACATTGAAATTTGAGTTCTGTAAGGAAATTTTGAGTGTGCATTTTATCTACCGATGTGAGGGTGTATTTTGTAACATGTAACACCATTTATTATTATTATTATATGATATGAGGTATCTAACTCAAATCATTATTATTCTATGATGATGTACTTGACCCCATTTATTATTATATGATATGATGTATGTAACACCATTTATTATTATATGATATGATGTATTTACCGCCATTCAGTATTATTATGACATGATGTACCTAACCCCATGTGCTATTATTTTTGGTGCTATTTTGTAATATGTATCCCAATATATTTTTTATGAAGGTGTGTCACATTCTAATTGTATGTTAACAGATTTCCATTTCTTGTACCTAATCCTGACCACCGGTAGGGAATTATTTTTCTATTTTTATTGATATAATTTGTGCAATGTTTGTATGAGGATTTATACTTTATATTAATGATTTAATATGTATGTCACTACTTACGTGTTTTCTGAACGTTACCGCATAATGATGAATCTTGGGGAAGGAGGAAGCTTTGTAATGGTCATGATAAGAGCTAACCTGAAAACCTTAAGGATTCATATTACGCTCAAACGTCCACAAAACCTTCCGAGTCCCCCAGTGGAAACGTCCCCCGTTTTCTCTGTTTCCCCCGCCTTTGTCTATGGGAGCAGACGCTGTATGCTGGGACCTGTTGCCATCCATTCCTTTGTAATCAATTTAATTTTGCTTTCGATAGCTGAGTCAGAGCATTGTTAGTGAAGATAATAGTAGAGAATGAAAATGAGTTCATAGTCTCAATTTCAACGTCAGAGGGTACCGTAAATTAATTCATCGGAATAGGAGTAGGTGGACTCCCTGGTCTGGTTTGAGTGAGGGCACGCGGGCATTTTAACCGTTAGTAAGTGCCCGTCCCTTCATCCATACAGGTCCCTAACGCAGCCTAGGCCGTGTCTGTAACGTGGATGTTGTATCCACTATGTCTGGGGACATGTCCGAGGTCCAGTAGGATCAGTTACCTACGTGAGACCCGGCCGTCAGACACTTCAGACCACCTATAGCCCCCATAGCTGGCTCGTCTGGCCCTAACGCTCGGTCCACGAGGTGACCCCGGACCACCAAGCCACACACCACTACCAGCCCCCATCATTGGTGGATGAGTGTCTACCTCAGTAGGGCTATATTTGTGTGGTGGAATTAACCCACTGGGATCTCCAGAGTTCGTCGGATAGTACTCCATGGTGGCTGGACCCCATGGCTGTTGCTTGAGTATCACTCCTGACGACTGAGTGTTGTAGTGGCAGTTGCCTAGTATTTATGGTGCTAAGTGACTATCATAGTTGTGTTATTGAGTATGTCCACCCCGTAGGGTTGGAAGGGTATTGAATATGTCCACCCAGTAATGGTGTGAGTATGTTGAGCCTGAGGGCCTAGTAATAGATTTCGTCTGTTAGTACAAACCAATTCTTTCTTCTAATTTCATATTCATGTTTAAATAAACTTTGTATTTGTATAATTGTGTATATTATTTACCTACAGTATTTACCGTTATTTCTTCCCTATTGCTTGATACTATCATTACACCTACCCACGAGCCTCCTATCGTCACGCTACCAATGGTGATATATAAGAGTAAAAGGAATTGTTACTGGCACACAGGCCCTCATGAAGGGTGGCAGCTCAAGCCCTCATACTTGGTGATACAGTTGGTCTTACCCAAGCTAGTGTCAGTAGAATTATTAGAGATGTGACCCAAATTCTCACAGAAAGGGCAAGATTTGAAATAAAGATGCCAACAGGTAATGTACAAATAGCAAGAACTGTGCAAGGTTTTGCCAGAATAAGAAACCTTCCAAGAGTCATTGGTGCAATTGATGGAACACACATACCCATAAAAGCCCCAATTGAAAATGAAGGAACATATGTAAACAGGAAGCGATACCACTCTCTCAATGTACAAGTAGTATGTAATGCCGATGGGTTGATCACAAACTACAGCACCAAGTATCCAGGTTGTAAACATGACGCCTTCATCTGGGCCAACTGCTTACTTCGCCGTCGCTTTGAGGCTGGTGATTTTGGTGATAATTATTTGATTGGTAAGTTTAAATGGCACGGTTAAGATTTTTCCTATTTCAGCTAATCAATGTGACTAGGTGGAACATAGGCTCTAATGCTAGGAGGACCTTACTTAACTGCCCAGTACATGATAAATCATTCATTTGTTGAATTAAGGAACGGTACACTTTTACAGCTATGTTTAACCGTGCATATCGACTAAGTTTGACATCACTGACCTTATAAACCTATGCTGAACCTAATAACTTTCCCTAAACCAAGCTATGACACTTGACGGCACATACATAATTAGTGGCCCACACCTAATATCTTTATTTGTCTTACAGTTGGTTGTTGAAAAATGGTTAAAATATTTGTGCTATATTGCTATTTTTATATGGAAGCAAATACATTATGCCTCATTGTTTGGTAATGCAGCTATATAGTTTATATGTTTTTTGCTTATAGGTACAAGAGTGGGCTGAGGGATTAATTCCCCCAAGGGCATTGTAATTTTTTTTTATTATATTTCTTATTGAGCTGTACATTTATTTCTTTATTTTTTAATCACTCCTGTTATTCCAGGTGACAGTGGGTACCCATTAGAGGCATTCCTCATGACACCATTCAGAAACCCCTCAACCCCTGGAGAAGTTAGGTATAACAACAGCCATACCAAAACCCGCGTAGTTGTAGAGCAAACTTTTGGTGTCCTAAAATCACGATTTAGATGCCTTCACCGTTCTGGTGGATCACTTCAATACGATCCTTCCAAATGTGCCAAAATTGTAAATGCATGTTTCCTTCTTCACAATTATTGTTTAATGAGAAGGGTACCACTTCCCCACGACATGGTCGACGATGATGGAGAGATTGACAATCCAGCTGAAGCTGTAGCAGGGACAGGCCAAGCAGTCAGAGCCAATGTAGTCCATAATTGGTTTACTGGATGAATTAAAATCAAATATCAATTCACCAATACATTTTTCCTCTGTTTAAATAGTATTTTTTAGTGCAGTATACAGAGGTAATGCGAATAAAGCGTACATTGATTTAACTTTTATTTTCAATATACTGTACATAATAAAATAAACTTCTTTATAGAAATTAAATGCCTTTCTCTTACCTTAATAGTATATGTACTATATCCTTGAACAAATTTGATTCCAATACAGTATACTTTTAATACTACTAAATACCAAAGGCACTAAAGTTTGTGAAACAAAAAATCCTTACATAAAACATATTTGAGAAATTGAAACAATAAAAAAATATTGCTACTGTTTGCATCTTAAACTACACAATTTGACATGGGTCACCACATCGTTGTGAAATAATAATACAACTACTGTTATTTGTTGCCATTTTTTAGATTTAAGAATGGAATACAGTATAATTTTCATGTCTAGAATTACCTGCATCAATACCCGTAAATTAAAAGAAACTTATAACCCAATACTGTACTACTGTAAGTAATAAAGAAAAAAATAGAATACTCTTTGCTTGTTAAGCTATAAAATGTAACATGAGACAGCACATCCTTATGAAAGAACCAATGCAACAACTTGCGCTTTGGAGACTAATGTGTGTTAAATAGCAGCGATTACAGTAGGCTGTTGGTGAATTTGCACCATTATTTCTGTTTCAACCTACTTGAATCATACTTCGCAAACTACAAACTAATAAATAAAACTCGTTGAACTGGAAATTGACTACGTCTTACAAAATAAAGGAACCTTTAAAAAATAAAAATAAGTACATGAGCCTCTTTTCAAACATATAATTTTGAGTGTGGTCGGAACTTTTACCCAAAACCTGGGTAAACATTACCCGTAGTAGCACTGCAACACATGTTATTAGTTGACAAATGTGTGTCTTTCACTTAACTTCATGATTTTAATGAACTTATGGAGAGCTAAATATTCCTGTTACATTTTCATGACTAGTATAGGCTGCAAGTGAAAGTTACACAATTTTTTAACATGCCGTCTTCCTTCATAACAATCACTCAAAGGAAAATTTATAATAAGTGTTTGATGACTTTTCAACTACGCTATTATCACATTTACCAAAAGTAAAGGACTTACCTAAGTAAACAACTACATATACACATACCATAAACACAGCATCATTGGATAGGATTTTTCGACTGCATAACTCTTGCAATGCATAGCATTGCAGATGCAATGCACTCGGTGTTCGCTACAAGCTGTAAAAAACTGTCCCTCATTTGTGTTTGAACACGAAGCATCTCTCGAAGAAGATCTTCATCTTTTCGGGCAGAAGAGGTTCGTGGCCTCCTGCCACTTCTGATCGTACTTGGCATTGGAGATGAACCCATTTCATCAGTGGAATCACCAGTTACAGTTGACCTAACAGCTGTGGCAGAAGGGGTACTAGACCTACTTCGCTGTTCCGTGGTAGCAGCAATAGGTTGACGAGTATTGCTTGAACTACATGTTTCTACCTCATATGTTCCGGATGATGAAATTCCAGGAATGTTTGTAGGTGCTGAAGTTTCAGGTTCTAAATGCACAATGGGTACTGTGATATCATGTTCCTGTATATCCTCATTCAGAATGAGGGTTATAGAATCATCTTTCTCTTGAACGGGCCGAAACATAAATTCCTCTCGGAAACAACTACCGGTAGCTGTAAACCTAGCTCCTGAGGGTCCGGGGGTTGGTTCTCTTTCTTCTTCTGGAAAGAAATGTAGTATAATAGGTTGATTGAAGTCTATGTTAAGAGTATAATTAAAATATTACACTATTTCCAAATATACAAAAGCTTTTAGGAAAAATGATGGTTTGAAAAATAGTGTTGACCATCTAAATATATTTGTTTAAAATATTTTTAAATCTAAATATCAACTAGGCGTTAAATTTCTTATATTTGCACTTCTCAATTTTGTCCATTAACATACGAGTTATAACAACATTTAATATATAACTTAGGGAAGCAATAAACAAGCTAGAAATGAAACCAACTTACTAGTGTTGTTATTTTTCAAAATTATATAAAAAATCAGTATACTGTACAGTATTTCCAAATCAAGATGTGAAAAAATGTCTCCAAAAGTTTTTTTTAAATAAAAAGAAGGACAGAAAAGAACAAAATATATATCAGGGGGTTGGAAAAGTATTTTGACTGAATTACCATTAATAGGTTCTTCACTTTCAACATCCCCTGGAATCCTTGTATAGAGGCTGGATCTAATAGTTGAAGAATTGCTTCTTCAATTGCAGTGTATGTAATTTCAATTTGGGGGCCGCCACCTTGAAGAGAAAATATAAATAATAACTGTCTTACTGTGAGCTGTGGTTACATACACTATACGCTAACTATGTTATATTTGGCAGAAATCATAGTTACAAAGGAATCTACTGAAATAGTTCCAAACATTATAACCTAACCTATCATTGTAGCTGTAGCCACAAAAATTCTCCTTTATCTATGTCAAAAGTTAATTAGATTTAAGGTAACAAACAATAAATGGTAAAATAAGTCAAAAAAAATAGTCGCAGCCAGAAATTTTCAACCTGTATTAGTTGTAAACTCATAGGATAGAACATCCTTGCCTATAAGCCTAACAAAGTAAAATTTACATATTAATGTATATCAAATATGAATATAAATCTATTGATGAATGAAAATTAACGACATAAAAAACGGAATTCTATGGCAACTTATACATTATGACCTTCATTACCGTCGGAAATAACGTAATTATTAATATGTAGTTTATAACAGTAACCAAACCTACCTAACCTAGCTTCCTTTACCAACGGGAGGCCTCCGCCGCCCTGCCACACAAACTCATATTAACTATCTCTGTTCCACGTCAGTTGCGACACAATGACAAGTGTGTCTTAAAATTGTGTAATCTAGATGATAGGTATAATAAGAAAATCCAAAAGTTGTGGGGAAATTATTAACAGTAGTACAGACTTCCCTGACTACCGGGTGGGAAGATATTGGAAGCATAATGTGTTGTCTAATGGTAGACCCTGCTGCCATATGGCATCACGAAAATTAGGAGCAAGTCTAAGGTTGCTGATCTGACTAAATGTGTCATTTACACACAATTGCAGGGTCGCAATTGTTTCTCGTAATATCGACAACACAACATACATACTGTATATTGATTCTCACTTTTTGTGTTTTCATTTCGGCATTTATGGTTATTTGTTATTAATATTATTATTTATAAAGAGGTATTTTTATTAATAGTACTAAAGAATTATTATTACAGGCCCCGAAGTGGGTCAGTGACTGTGCCTGGGTTGGTTAATCCACGTAAAAAGAAAATAAAAATTTAGGTTGAACGGTAAAGTTTTTACTATTTACTCACACGGAAAACTTCGAAGAACGATATTTCTTTTAATGAATGTGGTCATATAAGGAAAATATGTGTATTCATTCACGATGGAGAGCCACCACACTACTTACTTCCTTGAGTTTACAAACACGTAAAATCGTACCAAGCCTCAGAAAAACCATAGTTAAGTTTGTTTCATATTGTCAATCAATAACCACGCTAACAATATTATGACTTACCTGTTCCACCAGCATATTTCTTATCTTGTGCTGCTTTTTTCTTAACGCTAACACGAAGATCAGAAAACTTCCACCGAATTTCAGTAACATTGCGGGTGACTCTACCAACAGCATTCACCGCATTTAACACTTCACCCCAGGCTGGTTTTTGAGTTGAAGTGTACAACTACTTGAGTCCAACTTCCCTAAAATCATTTCTTTTCGTTTGGCTACCTCAGTCACAAGAGCGTATACTTCAGCCTCACTGAAATTAGGCCGTCTCATCTTGGCTGGTGGTCCTTCCATGTTTACAAAATAATATTACGTGCGTCGCTCTCAGCTGATTTCTCCTTCTCTTGTGATTGGTTGATGATTTTGTTAACTGAGCGTTGATTGGCCAACTAGCATCTACACTGACATCTACCGTCCGACAAGAGAACTTAATTTACAGGGTAAACACTAGAGTTACGAGAACTTACGGAAGTCTTACGGAGCCATAATTAAATTTTGAGTATGCTAAATTTATGGTACTGTAAGGCTTCCACAATATATGGTACTGTATCATGCTGAAAAACGTAACTTATGAGGTGTTTTGAGTATCCGGCCCCTGACATGCACGTCCAGCCATTGTTGTTGTGACGTGATTTATGTGGATTATTTTTCAATGTTGTTAAAGCGTTTATTTATCTACAGTGTGCGAGGGGGGGGGAGGAGGGGTCACTCCTTGTATGTTTGTTTGGAATTAAATTACCTTAAGACGGATTTCAACGGCTAACATCAAAGTTAGATTATAGGTTAGATTATATATTCGTCGATATTTAATATAATTTTGAAGAAGGTTGCAATAAAGTGAACTGGATAGATGTAATAAAACTTGGTAGGTGGGTGTAATGCTGCTGAATTAAGAAGTGATAAAGGCTATGTGAGTATATATGAAAGGCTCTAGGTCACGGCTCTAGGTCACGGGACTAGGTTTACGGTTTTAGTTCACGGCTCTAGTCACGGCTCTAGGTCACGGGACTAGGTTTCCGGTTCTAGTTCACGGCTCTAGGTCACGGGGCTAGGTTTACGGTTCTAGTTCACGGCTCTAGGTCACGGCTCTAGGTCACGGTTCTAGTTCACGGGACTAGGTTCACGGCTCTAGGTCACAGATGTAGGTCCTGACTCAAGGTCACGGTTCTAGGTTACGGGACTAGGTCACGGCACGGCTCTAGGTCACGGCTAAAGGTCGCGGCTCTGTCACGGTTCTAGGTCACGGCTCTTAAATAACAGCTATAGGACACGATGCAAAGTCACGGCTCTAGGTCACGGGACTAGGTTTCCGGTACTAGTTCACGGCTCTAGGTCACGGGACTAGGTTTACGGTTCTAGTTCACGGCTCTAGGTCACGGCTCTAGGTCACGGTTCTAGTTCACGGCTCTAGGTCACGGCTAAAGGTCACGGCTCTTAAATAACGGCTATAGGTCACGATGCAAAGTCACGGCTCTAGGTCATGGCTGTCACGACTCAGGGTCACGGCTCTGTCACGGATATATGTCACGGATCTTGGTCACGGATCTTGGTCACGGCTCTAGGACACAGCCCTAGGTCACGGTTCAAGGTCACGGCTCTAGGTCACGGGTTTAGGTCACGGATCTAGGTCACAGTTCAAGGTCACAACTCTGTCACAGTTCAAGGTCAAAGTTCTAGATCAAAAAACTCTAGGTCACGGCTCTAGGTCACGGTTCAAGGTCACGGTTCAAGGCAAGGTTCTAGGTCACGGCTCTAGGTCACGGATCTAGGTCACAGCTCCAGGTCACGACTCTGTCACGGTTCAAGGTCAAAGTTCTAGATCAAAACTCTAGGTCACTGCTCTAGGTCACGGCTCAAGGTCACGGTTCAAGGCAAGGCTCTAGGTCACGGCTCTTGGTCACGGCTCTAGGTCACGGCTCTAGGTCAAAGACTTTCGACGAAATACCTCATTATCGGGTGGACAGTTTAATTTAACTTTGCCAAAAAATTGGATAATGTCTCCTCATAACCCCACCCTTCCTCTCCTTTACCTTACCTTCCCCCTCTCTCCCTCTCCCCCTCTCTCTTCCCTCTTTCCCTCTCCCTTCCCTCTCTCCCTCCTCTCTTTCCTTTTCCATTTCTCCTTCTCCCTCCCCCTCCCTTTATTCCCTCTCCCTTCTCTCCCACCCCTTCCTTCCCCTTCCTCTCTCCTTCTCCCTCTTCTCCCTTCCCCTCTGCCATCCCCCTATCCATCCCCTTTCTCCTTCTCCCTCCTCTCCCTGCCCCTCCCTTTCTCCCTCCCTTCTTTCCCACCCCTTTCCCCTACCCTCTATCCCATCCCCTTTCTCCTTTTCCCTCTTCCTTCCCTTTCCCTCCTTCCCCTTTCTCCTCCACTCCCCCCCCGTTCTTCCTCCACTCGGCCTCCCTTCTTCTTTCACTCAATAAAATTATTATTAATTATTATTATTATTATTATTATTATTATTATTTCTGCTTCAGTAAAGAGATATAGGAAAGAGGTAATTTTGTCTGTTAAAAAAAATAAAAATAAAAAATTCCAAAGGAAACTCAGATCTTTTGGTTTGATATGCAACACACACTAAAAAATTATTGTTTTTTCTCATGTACTGTAGTGTATATTGTTATGGTGATTCCAAAACTTTGATCCCTTTTTTTGGAGAAATTCATAGAACAAAAATTATAAGCCCTTTAAAATTTTAATGATCTATATAAAAATGTTAACCTAACCTACCTAACTTAACCTAACTGGAAACTGACTTAACTATCATAAAATAAAGTATACTGTCTTTCATATTTTAAAGGTTGGATTAAGGACAAATTCACTTAGGTTAATTTATGGTCACAGTTAATTAGTCAAGTCTGACATATTTCTGTTGTACGTATATCACATTTATTGAATATTCATAATTTCATTATCTTTGAATATCCAAGAAATGTAATATAAAAATAATTCACGGTAAAGGTAGTCATACCTGTGATTACTTTCTACAATTATTACATCTAGCTATAATTGAGTGGAGCATCAAGGTGAGTTAGGTAAGATACAAGGAGTTTAAAGATGAAAATGTATTACGGTCTCTCCTCGACTTACGACGGTGTTCCGTCCCGACGACCAGGTCGTAATACCTCAAATATTGTTATTAAATTTTATCATCAATGACTTCTTTTGGTATTAAACAATACAATTTGGTGCTAATTTTTTCCTCTTATATAAAGTAGCTTTAGTGTATAGGGTGAAACATCAATCATGAAGTGATTGTCATTAGAACTTTATGGGGTCTGAATTTGTAAAAAAACACAACTAATGTGTTTAATCTACTCATAATCAATTTGGTAAAATGAATGTTTAGGTCATCCACCTCTACTTGGCATTTGAAAAAACATAATTTCAATGTCACCAAACCTAACCTAACCCAACTTAACTAATCTAACATAACCTAACTTAACTGGTAAAAATCGGTCAACTTAAAATCATTAAATTCGCTGGATGGCCAAAAAGATAATAATATCATCAATTCCATTTATTTTAGAAGGACTTATTCATTTTTGTTGAAATCATGGACATACAAAGCCAATATATCTACATTTGATTCTACCAGTGTGAATGGCAAAGTTAATTAATATCACCACTCCAACTGTTGGCCCAAACAAGTCGTAAAGTAGTTCTTTTTTGTAATACATCGAGTCACTAAGGGAATATAAAAATAAAACATGAATTTAGGTCACTGAATTTATCTTATTAGTAGCAAATTGTGGTTAAACTGATGCACAAATGAAACATGCCTGGGAAGTACCTAGCACTAGTTACCTGGCATATTTGGACTTATTAAAATATGAAATCTCGGCTAATAAGTAATTATACTAAGGAAATAATTATTTTGGTAGTGATGGACTGTTATTAATTGCGCTCATTACGAAAATTGGGTCGATATTAATTCTGATAAAGGACGTCATTCACCATCCCAGAGGAAGCTGTTCTCACCACTCTTCAAATAGACCATTTACGACTTTTTTTTATTTCAATTTGATTTCAATACATTTCTACACATAAATTAGTTGTATTAGTTATCTTAAAGGCTTACCTTTTATGATTGTTAGGCGAATTTGGAGGATATAAACGGCGCTGTAGAGGCTGGCGGCATTTTTCGTACACAAACATGGACCGCTTTTAAAAAGAACAATACAATTCTGCATGTGCTGTTCTGTATGGAGTATATCGTATAACAAATATTATTCCTTTGCAGATTTATACATTTTATGTCCATCCAAATCAATTTTCTTTCTTTTGGTTTCAAAAATAGTTGCCGGACGAAATTTCCCCATGTTCCAATAACGATGGCTGTCCACGGGTAATGTGAACCTCGTGGAGAACTGAAGTTGTTCCTGGAAATGAAATGGAAGGATGATTTACTAAGTTGATATTGTGTTCTCCTCTATCTCTCTCTTGTGTGTGGTTTTTTTACGGGAATTAGCCAACCCGGGCACAGGTCAAACGACCCACAACGGAGCCTGGGGGGCGAAAAAAAAGAACTTTATTTTTATGAGATTCTGTCTGTTCGTCCATCTTGTGCGGGCAATCAACATGGTAGGTAGTGAGCCGGTCGAGTCTCTGTTGTTTTGACGCTTTTTTGTTTTTTTAATGCCCCAATTTAAAAGAGTGACTTACAGTAGATGAATTCACCATTTGGGGGTAAGGGTGGGGGGAGTGAGGGTGGGGGTGGGGGTTGGCGGGGTGAGGGTGGAGGGTGGGGGATGAGGGGTGTGGTAATGGAGAAGGTTTAGGTGAGGGAATTTAGTGGACAAAGACTTGAGAATCCAACAGACATATACACAAGATAGTCATACACACACATACATGGCAGTCATATGCACAAGACAGTCATACACGCACACAAACGACAGTCATATACACAAGATAGTCATACACACACATACATGGCAGTCATATGCACAAGACAGTCATACACGCACACACACACCCGAGAGTCATGTACACAAGAAGACAAGTCATACACGCCCACATAGCTTGAATGTTGTACGGAGTGCCCCATTATATCTCTATGTTAATAAACGTCTACTTTTGGAGGTTGACTGCGTAAATATATGAATTATTAAAGAAAAACAGGAAAAACAGCTAATGTAACATAAATAGACCTTCCAAAAAGTCGATAGTAA